AATTGATTTTTGAATAGTAATATGATGGGAAATGTGTGGTTGAAAAAGAAGAAAAAAGTATTGATGTGATGGAAAATATTATTTTATTGAATAATGTGTGGTTGAAAATAAGAATTGATTTACTGTAGAAAATGAAAATTTGTACCAAACAGGCCCTAAATAAAAGAAAGGCAACTCTAAGAACCAGCAATGGTAACCTTAAGCTGGACCTCAGGTTCAATGGTTATTGAAGTAATCTGTTTAACCACATTAGGTGAGCATCAATCAGTCGCTTGTGAACTTGGATTTTGAATCTATCCCATGTCTTTGTACATTCAAATTAAAATGGTGATCTCTAAAGAGGCAATCACCTACACAATATATAAAATGGAAATCTTTTTCAAATGTGAATCAGCATTGATATTGAACTTCAACAAGTTATATATCCCAGAATGATTCTATGAGAATGTTAGATTCTATGTTACCTTTGTCTGTGCAGATTGAATGTTGTAGATTTTTTTGCAGAAATAATGTCATCCATTAGCATTAGCATGTAGAACAACTCATTAAGCAAACAATTAAAATAAAAACATTGTCATAGTCTTGAAAGTATAATATACAAGTCGTGCATTTCTCTCTAAATTCTCTCAGACAAGACTTGCCTTTCCTTTCTTAACTTATAGAATATTTTACAGTGTACCATATGATGCATTTGCAAGTGCAATTAATCGAGGGAATATGATTTCAACCGAGAACGCGAGGAGGAATTGGGGAGCTAAGTGCGGCAGTAAGCTTAGAAGAGTCATAAATGTGACAAGTAGTATACGGTCAATCACTTAACAATAAAGTACATCCTTAAAAGTGTGTTCAAATTTGATACAATGTTCGAAAGCTAGAAAGTATTAACACGCTTTCTAGTATGACCTTACACATTATTAATGAACACAGGTGAGGTTAAAGTCATACAAATGGATCAAATAACAACAAAAGAACTAAAATGCTTTAGAAAATTTACCAAACTCTTCTTTCATAAACACAAACTCCTCTTTCCTAAACATAAATTTAGTCCAAACATAATACACTAAGAAGAACGAAAGCCCAACTGACCAAAAAAACCCAACGAAAATATTGAACACAAATTTGAAATTTGAAAAAGAGAAATCAGGAAATTGAAGAAAAAATAGAAAATCAAACGAGAATAAATAAATAAACCTAATTATATTCAGTATCCGTAAAAATACATATCTTCAATGAATATTCTAAAGAATTATATTAACCCAATATGGCCTTCGTATATTGACAAGGTGCATACCTCTTCACTTTATTTACGATTGAGTCAACCGATAAAACTAACAAGCTCAATTGCATGCCTCATATTCCCAGGATCAACCTTAACAAGCATGTTAGAAATGCTTTGTGTCAATTCTGATCTGTTGTGGAGCATGCAGCCAGCAAGTAGAGAGCCCCAAATAAAATTATTGGGCTCAAATGGCATCGAGTTGACAACCCCAAGTGCTTCCTCAATACAACCTACTCGTGAAAGGAGATCGATGTAGCTAGCATAATGCTCCAATCTAGTGGTAACAGAATAACGTTGCCTCATCACCTTGAAAATTTCACGCCCTTTTTCCAACAATCCCGAGTGACTACAAGCACACAAAACACTGAGAAAAGTTCCAGAGCTGGGAATCACACCATACTCTTTCATTTTGTAGAAAAGCATCAAACCCTCATCTCCTTCACCATTTAGTGCAAGACCCATTACCATGGCATTCAACGAAACAACATCCTTCTCAATCATTTGATCAAAAACCCCTCTTGCCCTGTCCAAACTCCCGCATTTGCAGTACATATCTATCAAAGCAGTGGCAAGATTTACATTTGAAGATATCACACCTTTGTGCCCTCTAGTTCTCATGTACTCGTGCACCCTTGTGTCGATGTCTAAATCACCAACTGTGGCGCATGCTGAAAGCACACTAACCATTGTTACATGATTGGATCGACAAATACAATTCTGCATCATCAATTTAAAAAGGCTTATAGCCTCTGAAGCACGACCATTTTGAACATATGCCCCAGTCATAGCATTCCATGAAAGCACACTCTTTTTCCCATTTACAGTAATGTCATCAAATCTTTCCCTACTCTGTTCCGTCTTTTTGTACTTCCCATATAAATAAACAAGAACTGTATACACATAATCAAAACCAAATTTATTGGAACCAAAATCCTTTATATATGCCATCAAAATATTCACCCATTTCTCAATCTTTATAACATTAAGGTTCTAAGATGCAGATAAAACACTAACCATGGTATCATTTTCAGGCCTCAAGTTTTCTTTAATCATTAGCAAAAATAGATTCAAAGCTTCCTCAGATAAGTCCACTTGAGCATACCCAGAAGTCAAAGAAGTCCAACAACAAATCATATCTTTGTCGGGCATTTCATCGAACACTTTTCGAGCTGATGCCAAATCTTTAAGCCTCTTAGCGTAAACCACAAGCAAACAATTACAAACAAAAGAATCATGAACAAAACCCGATTTCACAACATGACAATGCACTTGTTTAACATTACTCAATCATCAACGGCTCTAAAACACGCTTTAAGAATAAAAGAAAAGGTCAAGTCATTGGGCAAAAGGGACATTGACTTCAGCTTTTTAAAAGCGAAAAACGCATTTGTAAACAGGCTCTCTTCAGCCAACACTCTAATGATTGCATTAAACGGGAAAATGTTGGGTTCTCCAAACAATTAAACACTTTCAAGGCCATGTTTGAAGGGTAATGGCCAATGAGACGAGTTGCAACGAGGTCATTTTGGTGGGAATTGTGTCGGGATATACAAGCATGGATTTGGAGCAGGTGAGGGTGTGGAATGTAACCCTGTAAGAGGTGAGAGAAGTTTATAGGGAGTGGGTTCGAATTTTTTGAAGACAACGAACAGAGGGAGTGTGAAGTCAGGTGGTGCCATTGAAGAAATTGGAAGGAGATAAAGCGAAATTTGTAGAGTGCAAAGTGTATTGAAAATTTGTCCATGAACTGAAGCGTGTTGGGTGAATGGGTGGTTCGATGACATTGGAAAGTTTTTAAAATGGAAGTCCAATTCGGAGAATACAGCACAAATTTGCCATAAATAATTAAAGGCGAAATTACAAAAAACCCAGACATTTAGGGGTTATTCTCTTTGTATTTCAGTTTTATATTTTGAGTTTTGTGTTTTGAATGTCAATTTTGAGATTGTTGAAAATATGTTTCTTTTGGTATTTTGAAAAATTGTTTTGAAAACGTCCTAAACGCGTTTTGAAAATTTTGACTTGATTATAACCGAAAACACCAAAAACGACAAATTTGTCGTTTTGGGTTTACTTTGTAAATTTTTAACTTGTTTTCAAAAACGCGTTTTCGAAAATAGGAAAGAGAACGTGTTTTTACTATTTTGAAAAATCGAAAACAGAAAACGGTTTGAAAATGGTAAAGAGATCAAGCCCTTAAGTTTTCAAATTCAAAACTCAGGTGTAGAGAAGTATATACTGGAGCATGCATCCATGGCCGACGGAGAGTACGAAGCGATCGCGGTTGAACCACTTGGGGTTCTTGGGGTTATACCTCTTGACCTCGTCATACAATATGTGGCCCATCGGGGTGCATCCCATGGGCAAACCCGGATGTCCGGAATTGGCCTTCTCGACAGCATCGATGGCCAAGAACCTGATCTTGTTGATGAACTTATCGAGAAGTGTGCTATTTGTTGTTTTTCTATTGTCTCTACAACAGGGGAAGGGAAAGAGAATTGGTGGTGGTGTGAAGTTTTTGGGTGGATCCATGGAGGCGTGTAGAGGAGCGAGCGAGGGAGGGAGGGAGGGTAGGGAAACAGTCAAAGAAGAAGAAGATGCCATAGCTCTTTTTTTGTGATTGTCGAATCGTTGAGGAAGGAGAGTTGGTAGTGTAGCAAATATATGCGGCTTGCGATTCTAATTTTTTTTTTTCTTTTTTGAGTTTTTTAAATTTGACTAATTTGGTATAATTTTCAAATCATTTCATTTTGTACATTGCGCCAAAAGATGGAAATAACCTTTTTAATATTTTCATTTTCAGGAAAATTATTCAAGGCCCTCAACCGAATAACATGAGCAATTTTTAATTTATTATGAGCCCAAACAATAAATTTAACAAGTTCTTGTCAATTACTTTCCATTTACTTAAGTGAGATTAAAGTCGCAATTCTTTTAACGGTATACTCCTAATCATGTCTCCTTTAGCCAAATTAATTTAGATTTACTAAAATCTTGTACCTCTTTAGATTTTATTCGGAATATAACCCATCTTCTCAATTATATAAATATAGATTAATTTTATTCGGAATATACCTCTTTAGTTTGTACAAAATAATGTTACTTAAGAACAAAACATAGGGTTGGTTTGTGATTAGTTGTTGTGTTACAGAGATGGGACCCGAGAAAGTAGGTGAGTAGGTTTTGAGTTTTTGAATCATTAATCACGGCCAGCCACCAACCAATTTCAATGGTGCTGTGCGTGCATGTGATGTATTTCCTTTAATCATCAATTCAGTAATATATTTTTACAATTTTCTCAACAGAGACCGGCATGACCAAACTTCAAAAGGGCTATTTCAGCCTTTGAGTTGAAGAATGGTTACAACAATTTGGGTAGGTGTGGAAAAGAATATTAAACAGTCATTTTCAGTTTTTGGTAGAAGAAGTGACTGATAAAGACAAGGGATACATTCTCAATATTTGTCTTTATACAAGCAACATATGAGTTTGGTAAAGTTTCTAAATTTATCTATGAGTTTGGAGATATATTAACCACGAATTAAATATTTTTGCTACCTACATCTTTATGCTCTGAGACCAATTTCTCCAAATAATTTATAACAGCAATTTGCTCTGTGTAACTGCAAATATGAAAATAGAATATATTGTCAAGAAAATCCTTAGGGTCCTTCCTAATTTGACAGGCTTGAGAGTCCTTCGAGTCCTTCCGTAGGAAGCTATTATATTCTTGCATGTCCTCTGTGCATGCCTCGGCAATTTGAAAAGCACGTTCGACCATAAAACTGCCTTCCGTATCACAATATGTAGTGCTGTAAGCTGAACATTAAAGAAAAAATGGTAAACATGGATGCCAGCATTCATATATGCCTGGCATAAAATTTACCTATATAAACTGCCTTTCCTTCAAGGCCACCATAATCAGCTGGAATTTGAACATTTATTGCCAGTTGAATCCTACATATTCCATTATATCTTAGATGTAAAACATAAATAAGTAAAATACTTGGCTTAAATTTGGGACAACACCTACCCCAGTTGTGTTTTACCAATGCCTGGCACTCCACCTAATAACATCAGAAATTGACATAAGATAAGCGTAGACAAAAAAAAAATTAAAAAATAATAATTGAAAAGACAATCACATGGAAAAATCGGTGATATAATATTTACTGGTACAAGAAAATGTTGAGTGACCAACCAACTTCAGTAACTTCTTTACAATTAATTCTTCCACCTAGGATGTCATCCAGATCTGAGCAGGATGTTGTAATACGCACAGAAGATTCCTCCTCGTGTAGCATATCCCAAGCCGTCTGTGCTCCTAAACAAATGAATTTTTAGAAAGTTGACTGATATGAGATGAGTAGAAAAAAAATACAATAAGGCTCTGTTTGAGCCGCATTTTTTGGAAAATAGATTTTGTAATAGTGATTTTTTTGGAGAATGATGGTTAAAAAATACAAAAAAATTTGGGTTTAAGTGTAAAAATATTTTATTGGGAGAATGAGTTAGAAAAAAATAAGGTAGGGAAAAAATGAGTTTTTAGAGAATGGGAGTCAAATAGGGACTAAATTCCGCCTCTGTCTTATGGTCCACAATCATGTCAATCAAAACATCCCTAAAATAATTTCCATAGACATAAAAAGGTATGGAGCATCTGAAATGCCAGAATTAATAATAAACAATGCCAAAACTTCAAAGTATGAAAAAACTTCTCAAACAGAAAATTATATAAATCATAAAATATCACTTTTAAAATCCACAAAATTAGATGAAAATACAAAAACCAGCAAATCTCCAAGAAACTAAAGACAAATTATCACTTCTTTACTCACTCCCTGTAACTTTTGACTAACTTGAGAATACTCTATGCATTTGAAAAATATTGAATGAACCACCAAATTCGATGAGTAATCCCAAACTCTTTCCTTCCTTTGCCTGCTTTGTTTAGACTTTTTTCGACTTTCCCTACCAATTCACTCATAGTCATAACTTGCCTAAACACTAATTTTCGTTGCTCCTACAGCCTCACTTTGTTTTCTTTTACTGTTTGTTTCATTGCATCCGAACACTCTCATTAAGTTACACACACACATAGTACGGGCCTTGAGTAGGATAAAACTTCATTCTAAAAGGTCATAGTTAACTTTTTTAACAATAGTAAAACTCAGGTGTAATAGTAATGAAGCTGCACTTTAATGCCACATCATGGAGAAGAGGTAGAATTTGAATGCTTCAAGTTCCAGAAAGGCTTTAGACTCTTATAGAGGAGTAGCGGTTAAATAAGACAGAGAAAAAAACTTTGAGCTCAAAAATAAATTGCAGTTAGAAAGGAAAATGCTAAGAATTCATCAATAACAGAACTATCTACCATTATTTTTAAAAAACATAGAACAATCAAAGACAATCACAACTAATAAACAAAATAATAGTCGTTACAGGAGCTCCGGCTTGAATCAATGGCCCAGAAAACCATCCCTTGGGCCAAATTTTATTGATTGGTTATATATTCCTTATGCATCACCATTAAGAACTTGATTCCTTTCCTGTGAACTATTATTCATTTGTAAGACTTATTAGTTTCACATGTATCACACAAACAATGCCAAAAAATTACTTGGGCGAATACAGAGTTGAATGTAGACAGAAAATGTAATAGATAAAAATAAACTTGTAACTTGTACTTTGTTCGGTTTTCCTGCACTAAGAACGCAATAAGTGAAGCTATGAACGAATTTTGGACTAGATGTTTTGACAACTATGTCAAGTATACTCTTAAAATTTCAATGTTCACCTTATACTACTAAAATCTCAATTTTCGGGTGGGTTTCAACTTTCAGTCATACGCTTGTGAGTTGTGACTCAACGTTGCTAAAATAATAAAACATGGCAGAAGAAGAGGGAATGTGTATGTACCATTAACAATAGGACAAGCTCCATTATCAGTTATGTCTAATTCACTCCTCGGAGACGCTACTTTCAGAATTTCAAGCGCCTCATTTTCCGAAATTTTCAAATCTAGTCGAGAAAACATTAACAGAATTAATTACACAATAAAATGGGCAACGATACTAAAGCCATTTTTATGATCCAATTTGATAAAACAGAAACACACGGGTTGGAGGAAAAGAATTATTCTATTTGTACATCAAAAAATGTACATAAGAGTGTACACCCCCCTCACATGGGGTGGGACCCACTTGTATAAAATATTTTTTTAATTTAAACAGGTCTCACCCCCATGTGAAGGGGGTGTACACCCTTATGTACATCTTGATGTATCACTAGCAAAATCGGGAAGAAAATGCCTAGAAATACAAGACAACTTGGCACTAAAGCTCCAGGAGAATGGATAAATGGGCGATGATGATATGGATAGCCAGGCTGAGAAATAAACTCTCAGACACCTTCAATAACCACATTGGAATCCATTGATCACCTGTTGAATGAATGGTCAGACAGAACTACTTGAATTCAATTGAATAGATTGAATGCATAATCCAGTCTATTTCAGTCAAAGAACACAAAACACAACCCGTTTTCAGCGTCTAAACTCCCACTCATTCTATTACCTGTTATCTTGATAATATTGAAAAACTGAACCTTGCAATCAAGAAAAATGCATTGAGTTACAAGTTCAAGACAGTGTGAAAATAGTACAAATTCAAGATCAATATAATGAGTGATCTCTGCTCTGATCCTGATTTAAGTTGCAAGCTTTGAAGCCTAAACAAAAAAAAAAAAGCAAACAAGAGAAAATTTTCTCTTCCTTTATTATGAGATCTCTCAAGTCTCAAGTGGAGAACCAGTGCACAAAATCCTGCATGGTTTTCACTTTAAATTTACCACTCCCAACATTCAAATGTAAGTAATTCTTGAAGACCACAATCAACTAAGTTCAGCAACCAAAGCTTAAGAGACTTCATTGGCGGCTGCTACAACGGCTTCTACTGTAATACCAAATTCCTTGTATATTTTTCCTGCAGGAGCACTGGCTCCAAATCCATCAATTCCAATTGCCTTCCCTTTAGATCCAACTATCTTCTCCCATCCAAATGTTGATCCAGCTTCAATGCTAACCCTAGCTGTTACAGCAGATGGAAGGACACTTTCCTTGTAATTATCCGATTGCTCATCAAAAAGTTCCCAAGAAACAAAGGAGACAACTCTAACTGCCTTGCCTTCTTTTCTGAGTTCGTCAGCAGCCTTAGCTGCAATTTCCAACTCTGAACCTGTTCCAATCAGAATGACATTGGGATTGTTACTGGATGAATTATCTGATATGATATAGCCTCCCTTTTCTACTCCTTCAATGGATGTTCCAGCAAGTTGGGGCAGCTTTTGACGAGACAGGGCAAGGACTGATGGTCTCTTCCTGTTAAGAACTGCCACCTTGTATGCACCAGCTGTCTCATTGCCATCAGCTGGACGGAGCATCAATATGTTGGGCATTGCTCGGAAACTTGCCAAATGCTCGATGGGCTGATGAGTTGGTCCATCTTCTCCAAGTCCAATTGAATCGTGAGTCATGACATAGATAACTCTGGCTTCACACAAAGCTGAGATCCTCATGGCTGCTCTCATGTAGTCCGTGAACACAAAGAAAGTTGCACAATAGGGCATGAGACCAGGGGTGTGGCAGGCAATTCCATTGCAGATGGCTCCCATACCATGTTCACGAACACCGAACCTTACATTACGCTCTTCTGGTGTGTTCTTTTGGAAGTCGCCAAACATTTTCAGAAGAGTCATGTTGGAGGAGGCAAGATCAGCACTTCCACCAAGCAAACCAGGTAGAACCTTTGCAAGAGCATTGAGGTTTTGTTGTGAGAGATTTCTTGTGGCATCAGCTGGAGCCTCCGGAGTGTATGTCTGAAGAAAAAATTACATGTCAGAGACTAGTTATAAGCTCATTGTGGTGCTTTTCAGTACTGAAAAAATAGAAGGATAAATTGTGAGGATAATATTATAGCAGTTGAAGAGAAGTTAACTGGAAACCAAAATGATAGAACAACTCACAGGAAGTGCTTTCTCCCAACCAGCAGGTAGTTCACCAGTAATGATAGATTTCAACTCTGCAGCTTCCTCTGGATACTTCTTCTCGTATTCAGCAAATTTGGCATTCCATTTGGCTTCAAGGGCAGCACCATCAGGGACATGTCGGCTCCAGTGCCTAAACAAACAGCACCCAACTGTTGGCATTCATGTAAATGGAAAAAGTGGAACATAGATTGAGCAAGTAAAATCAAGAAATTCTCACTTCTTCACATCCTCAGGAACATGGAAAGGCTCATGAGGCCAGCTAAGGCTCTTTCTGGTGGCCTCAACTTCCTTGGCACCTAATGCACTTCCATGTACACTGTATGAGTTTGCCTTGTTGGGGGATCCATAACCAATGGTTGTAGTCACCTGAGAATAACAAAAAGGCTAGCAACTTCAAATAAATGTAAAAAGATATTCAAGGTCGGGGCCAATAATAAAGGAACACTAAAAAGTAAATCATTTTGTCCTTAATGCTTCTTCCAATCACTCGAATATATTCTACATTATCTGACCTTGATCAAAGTTGGCTTGTCTTTCACAGCCTTTGCTTCCTCGACAGCCGCACGAATTTCGTCATAACCAGTGTTACCATTCTTCACCCAGATTACATGCCACCCAAGAGCCTCAAAACGGGCATCAACGCTCTCAGAGAAAGCAATTTCAGTGTTACCATCAATGGAGATGTGGTTGTCATCATAAAAAGCTATAAGCTTTCCAAGTCCCCAGTGCGCAGCAAGCGAAGAAGCTTCATTTGCAATACCTTCCATTTGACATCCATCACCAAGTATGACATACCTACAGAGGAGCAATTCTGTTAGTCCAAGTCACGATAAATAGTAAACTGAACCCGCGATACAACGAGAACAAAAATGACGAGTAAGAGCCAAGAAGTTTTCTTACGTGTAGTGGTCAACAACCTCGCAATCTGGTTTGTTGTAACGAGCAGCCAAGTGCTTCTCTGCAAGCGCTAAGCCAACTGCATTGGCAACACCTTGACCAAGTGGGCCTATAAAAGAGTAAATGAAGACCTCATGATCAGTTCAAAGTCAGCTTATGCAAGCAAATGAATAAAAGTTTCAGAATTATTTCCTGACCAGTGGTAACTTCAACACCAGGAGTCTCAAAATTCTCAGGATGACCTGGTGTTTTGCTTCCCCATTGACGGAAACTCTTCAAATCTTCTTCCTGTGAAATTTTTATGTGAAATATTCAGCTACAAAGTGAGTCTCAAATTGTGGTACTGTTTTTCGTAAAATATTTTCATTATATTCATGAAATTAAAGCAGAAAAAAAAATACATTATCCACTGGTGAAACAAGAACTACTAGACGACTTTCGTAAATTTTAGCAAGAACAGTTCTGAATATCACAATTGGCAAAACAACAATCAATGCAATTGATGAAAGATTAGTAGATTACTAAAGAACCTAATATTACGCAGCAAAACCCCCAAATATTCTAGAATAAGTAAAAAATAAAAAAAAACGATAAACCAAAGTTTACTCAAGCATGCTCGAACACTAAACTAAAACAAGCTCAAAAGTCAACATTCTTCATCCTTTCCCCTCAAACCCAGTCAACTTTCATACCAAAACCCGGTACCCCAGATCATAGAATATAATTTCCAATAGTAACCCTAAAACAATAAAATCATATTACTTCATGTCATGACATACACTATATAAAAAAACTTTGATGCACAGGCCCACACATGCATGTATTGTGTTTTTCAAATGTAGAAATGAAGAAATTTATGAAAAAAGTATCAAGTCGTAAAAGAAAATGGCAATAAGTGGTAAAAGATTTGACCTTGACGGAGTCATAGCCGGCGAGGTGGAGAAGTGCATACTGGAGCATGCATCCATGACCGGCGGAGAGCACGAAGCGATCTCGGTTGAACCACTTGGGGTTCTTGGGGTTATACCTCATGACCTCGTCATACAATATGTGGCCCATGGGGGCGCATCCCATGGGCAAACCCGGATGTCCGGAATTGGCCTTCTCGACAGCATCGATGGCCAAGAACCTGATCGTGTTGACGGACTTATCGAGAAGTGTGCTGTCTGTTGTTTTTTCGATTGTCTCTACAACAGAGGCCCGAACCGGGAGGCTGGTGATGATGGGGGTGCGGCGACGGGAGACGGCGGCGGTGGCAGTTGAGTTGGTGGATTTGAGGCCGGAAAACTGGGGAAGGGAAAGAGAGTTGGTGGCAGTGTGAAGTTTTTGGGTGGATCCATGGAGGCGTGTAGAGGAGCGAGGGAGGGTGGGTGGGGAAACAGTGAGAGAAGAAGAAGATGCCATAGCTCTTTTCTTCTTTTCTTCTGATTGTCGGATCGTTGAGAAGGGAGAGTTGGTAGCGTAGCAAATATAAGAGGCTTGCGATTCTTTTTTCTTTTTCTTTTTTTTTTTTCTTTTGAGTTTTTTAAATTTGACTAATTTGGTATAATTTTCAGATCATTTCATTTTGTACACTTGCCAAAAGATAGAAATAACCTTTTTAATATTTCATTTTCAGGGAAATTATTCAAGGCTCTCGACCAAATAACATGAGCAACTTTTAATTTATTACGAACCCAAACAATAAATTCAACAAGTTCTTGTCAATTACTTTCTATTTGCTTGTGAGATTAAAAGGGTACCTATCAAACAATTCTTTTAACCATATACTCCTAATTATATCCTCTTTAGCCAAATTAATGTGAGTGGCCCGAGTGGGCTGTAAAATTTACAGTCCATTAATGACTGTACAAATGGCTTTTTTGTTAATTTTATTCGGAATATAACATTTTTAGTTTGTACAAAATAATGTTATTTAAGAATAAAACATAGGGTTGGTTTGTGATTAGATTTGATGTGTCAAAGAGATGGGACCCGAGAAAGTAGGTGAGTAGGTTTGAGTTTTTCTGTTTTTGAATCAAAAATCACAGCCAGCGCAGCCACCAACCAATTTCAATGTTGTTGTGCGTGCATGTGATGTATTTCCTTTAATTTATTCATCAACTCAGTAATATATTTTTATAATTTTCTTAACAGAGACCAGCGTGACCAAACTTCAAAAGGGTTATTTCACCCTTTGAGTTGAAGAATGGTTAAAACCATTTGGGTAGGTGTGGATAAAACTATTAAACAATCATTTTCAGTTTTTGGTAGAAAAAGTGACTGATAAAACAAGGGATACGGGCTCAATATTTGTCTTTATATAAGCAACAAATGAGTTTGATAAAGTTTCTAAATTTATCTATGATCTTAAGCGCCTGCATCATGCCAAATTTTATTAGAGACGAGACTAATTTATCTATTTAAAGTTTTTCCTTTATCTATACACCTTCAACTCGTACACAACAAGCACACTTCATAATTCATATTACCCAAAAGCATTGTTCTACTGTAACAGACAATCAAATTCACTAATGATGTAAATTGAAATGATGGTTTAACAAAGAAAGCTACAATATAAAGCTCTAAACCTTCATTCTGTCTTACAGTCTCTCTACGCTTCCATAGATTGTTAAGTAATATGTAAAACATTAATAAAGACCTTATCCGAGCAAAGAACCAAAGTACTCTGCTGCTCGTCTTACCAAATGAAAGCCTACATCATTTTAACTCGTTTACTATTTGAAGCACAGTTTCGGATCCCTCTTCCGGTCACAGCATAAGGAGCTGATGCTGATCTCATTGAGGGTGATTTATCTATATGTGCACATCTTTCATTGCCGTTCCAGTACAAAATGATCCGATTGGTACAAGCATGTGACCAACTATCGCCTGTTCAGGATGAGTTTCCAACACTTAGAAATACACAAAAACACAGTTGCAGCACAAGTTTTAAAAGGCCCAGTATTAAATCCAACTACCCTGCCTGTAAGGACTTGCATAGTTGAGCACTAACTTGCCCACAATGCTTAAACTCGGTTATAAACTTGTAGTTACCCAAATCCTTAAAGACCAACGACGCCATCCTCCTTCAACTGATGTGTCGTGGGACGTATAATCCCCCTCAAATACATGACAGCATTGACCCACTCTAGATGACATGCAATTGGTAGCCCACTATAGTCAATTTTAAAGGAACCAGAATACTATTCAATTTGAACCTGCTAATGTAATGCACTAACCAACTTATCCAAAACGTTTAAGCCCAAGAAAACTGAAAACCTAATTCAGAAACAACCACAATAAACAGAGACAATTAAAGGACATCATTCCCAATCGAAGGTGGAGCAATATACCTAGAGCCAGAGTTAACTGAAATGAACCTTCTGAATACTTGGTGGTTACTTGATTCAATAGAATTATCTGCAGAGTTGATTCCAAAAATTTAAATCAATAAAAGTTGGATGGAGGAGATTAAAGCTAGGATAGCTGTCCATTAATAAGTTAAAAGAATCAGTCATGGCATCAAATTTAATAAGCGCGATAGGTAAACAATCTTTCATTCAATCATAGCAAGAAGATGTTGCTCACTGCCAAATTAAACGTCTTCGCAAGTTTCATTAGTTTTAAGGCCATTCCACCGAGTAGTCTAGTTCTAAGAGCCATGTCCTCAAAATCTTGACGGAAGTGGAAAGTAATACTGTCGATAACAACAGCCTTAACCTGTGACAGTAAAAAGATGTTAATACGTTTGGAGATATTTTAACCACAAATTAAATATTTTTGTTCAATTGCCATCGACAGCCAAAAAGTTACTATACCTACATCTTTATGCTCTGAGACGAATTTCTCTAAATAATTTATAACAGCAATTTGCTCTGTGTAACTGCAAATACGAAAATAGAATATATTGTCAAGAAAATCCTTAGGGTCCTTCCTAATTTGACAGGCTTGAGAGTCCTTCGAGTCCTTCCGTAGGAAGCTATTATATTCTTGCATGTCCTCTATGCATGCCTCAGCAATTTGAAAAGCACGTTCGACCATAAAACTGCCTTCCGTATCTAAGCATCACAAAATGTAGTGCTGTAAGCTGAAAATTAAAGAAAAAATGGTAAACATGGACGCCGGCATTCATATATGCCTGGCATAAAATTTACCTATATAAACTGCCTTTCCTTCAAGGCCACCATAATCAGCTGGAATTTGAACATTTATTGCCAGTTGAATCCTACACATTCCATTATATCTTAGATGCAAAACATAAATAAGTAAATACTAGGCTTAAATTTGGGACAACACCTACCCCAGTTGTGTTTTACCAATGCCTGGCACTCCACCTAATAACATCAGAAATTGACATAAGATAAGCGTAGACAAAAAATTTTAAAAAATAATAATTGAAAAGACAATCATATGGAAAGATCGGAGATATAATATTTACTGGTACAAGAAAATGTTGAGTGACTAACCAACTTCAGTAACTTCTTTACAATTAATTCCTCCACCTAGGATGTCATCCAGATCTGAGCAGGATGTTGTAATACGCACAGAAGATTCCTCCTCCTGTAGCATATCCCAGGCCGTCTGTGCTCCTAAACAAACGGATTTTTAGAAAGTTAATTATTTGAAACTTCACCTTCTGAACTACATGAATTGGTCATGTTGACTGATATCAGATGAGTAATAAGAAAAAAAATACAATAAGGCTCTGTTTGAGCCCCATTTTTTGGGAAACAGATTTTGTAATGGTGATTTTTTTGGAGAATGATGGTTAAAAAGTGCGAAAAAATTTGGGTTTACATGTATAAATATTTTATTGGGAGAATGCATGGTTAAAATGAGTTAGAGAAAAAATAAGTTAGGGAAAAAATGAGTTTTAGCATGGCGCATGGGACTCAAATAGGGACTAAATTCTGCCTCTGTCTTATAGTCCACAATTATGTCAATCAAAACATCCCTAAAATAATTTCCATAGACATATAAAGGTATGGAGCCTCTGAAATACCAGAATTAATAATAAACAATGCCAAAACTTCAAAGTATGAAAAAACTTCTCAAACAGAAAATTATATAAATCATAAAATATCACTTTTAAAATCCACAAAATTAGATGAAAATACAAAAACTAGCAAATCTCCAAGAAACTAAAGACAAATTATCACATCTTTACTTACTCCCAGTAACTTTTGACTAACTTGAGAATACTCTATGCATTTGTAAAATATTGAATGAACCACCAAATTCGGTGAGCAATCCCAAACACTTTCCTTCCTTTACCTGCTTTGTTCAGACTTTAACTTTCCCTACCAATTCACTCATATTCATAACTTGCCTTACACTAATTTTTGTTGCTCCTGCAGCCTCACTTTGTTTTCTTTTACTGTTTGTTTCATTGCATTGGAACACTCTCATTAAGTTACACACACACATAGTAGGGGCCTCAAGTAAGATAAACTTCATTCTAAAAGGTCATAGTTAACCTTTTTAAAAATAGTAAAACTCAGGTGTAATAGTAATGAAGCTGCACTTTAATGCCACATCATTGAGAAGAGGTAGAATTTGGATGCTTCAAGTACCAGAAAGGCTTTAGAACCTTATAGAGGAGTAGCGGTTAAATAAGACTGAGAAAAAAACTTTCCATGTTTATCATGTCAAGCATTGTATTTGGATCCCACAAAAATTATAATAATTGAATTATGCTGATATCAGGAGTTTGTTTAACTAACAAAAACTGGTCATGATAGCCCATTTTGATGTAATAGAAAGTGTAAAACCTTACAGGAGTAAAAAGGGCAATAATTTTTGAAGTTCATGACATGCGAGCATTGTATTTGGATCCCACAAAAATTCTAATAATCAAATTATGCTGATATCAAGAGTTTGCTTAACTAAAAAAAACTGGTCACGATAGCCCATTTTGATGTAATAGAAAGTGTAAAACCTTACAGGAGTAAAAAGGGCAATAATTTTTGAAGTTCATGACATTCGACTAAATAGTTTATCTAATTCTGAACCTGTAGTTGGAACCTTCCAAAGATGTAGCTCTGTCAAAGAGGATAAGGGGAAAAATACATTGCAATTTGTATCATCTTCATTGAATATGTTGTCTTCCCTATTTCCTTGGTTTGCATAACATTTCGCTCTTGGATACGCACATACGCATGCACTTACATTGAGAGAGAAAGAGAGAGTTTTAGATAAACTTGTGTAGAAGATGAAGACGAGAAAGAGAGGAAAAAACTTTATTATTTTTCACCTTATCCTCAATAAATCGGGATTTCATCACTCCCCCTCAAGTTGGATCATAGATGTTAGTCATATCCAACTTGAATATGAAATCATCGAATTTCTGTCTAGGCAGTCCTTTGGTGAAAACATCTGCAATCTGTGCTTGTGTAGGGACATATGTCATGCAAATAGTTCCTTCCTCAACTTTTTCTTTAATAAAGTGTCTATCCACCTCTATATGCTTAGTTCGGTCATGCTGAACTGGATTGAGAGAGATGTTGATTGCCGCTTTATTATCACAGTAGAGTTTGATTGGCAACTTTATAATAACATGTAATTCTTCCAAAAGCTTTCTCAACCACAATCCCTCGCATATTCCTTGTGCAGCTGCTCTAAACTCGGCTTCTGCACTACTTCTGGCTACTACATTTTGTTTCTTGCTTCTCCACGTTACTAAATTTCCCCAAACAAAGGTACAATAACCAGTAGTAGACCTTCTATCTTCTATTGAACCTGCCCAATCTGCGTCTGTGAAAACTTCTACTTCTTTCCTTTCACTCTTTTTGAAGAGTAGCCCCTTACCTGCAGATCCCTTGAGATATCTGAGTATCTTATAGACGGCTTCTAGGTGATTTTCTTTCGGAGAATGCATGTGTTGACTTACCAGGCTAACAGCGAATGCTATGTCAGGTCTGGTGTGTGATAGGTAGATTAGTTTTCCAACCAGCCTTTGATATCTGTCAATTTCTACTGGCTTTCCTCCATCTTCAACTCTTTTTCCCCCATCCACTGGTGTATCACTTGGTTTGCATCCAAGCATGCCGGTTTCAGTTAGAAGATCAAGTACATATTTTCGCTGTGAAACACTGATGCCTTTTCGAGATCTGGCCACTTCCATTCCCAAGAAGTATCGGAGTGGTCCCAAATCCTTTACTTCAAACTCAGCGGCAAGGCTCTTCTTTAGTCTTTCCAATTCAACTATATTATCACCTGTCAGAATAATGTCATCAACATATACGATCAAAATAACTTTAGTACCATTTTCAAATGGTCGAAGAAACAAGGTGTGATCTGATTGTCCTTGACGATATCCCTGACTTTTTAACACTTTCGTAAATCTGTCGAACCATGCTCTTGGTGACTGCTTGAGTCCATATAAGGACTTTTTCAGTTTACATACCCGATTTTTCTCATTTACCCCGCAAACTCCTGGTGGTAGTGTCATGAATACTTCCTCATCTAAGTTTCCATTTAAGAATGCATTCTTGATATCTAGCTGCTGAAGTGGCCAATCCAAATTCACTGCTAGTGATAGAAGAACACGAATTGTATTTAGTTTTGCCACTGGTGCAAATGTTTCTGTATAGTCAATACCGTAAGTTTGTGTGTATCCTTTTACTACCAATCGAGCTTTATACCGTTCGATTGTCCCATCAGCCTTGTATTTCAAATTGAAGACCCATTTGCACCCAACAGGTTTCTTTCCTTTTGGTAAGTCCATTACTTCCCAAGTTTCATTCTTTTCTAATGCTCGCATTTCATCCAATACCGCTTCTCTCCATGTTGGAATTTCCAACGCTTCCTGAATAGTTCTTGGGATCACTGTACTGTCAAGGTGAGTAGTAAAGGCACGAAAGCTTGTAGATAAAGCATTATAGGACATAAATTTTGAAATAGGGTGTAGAGTACATGACCGTGTTTGTTTTCTAAGGGCAATGGGTAAGTCTGTATCAGATACTTTCTGAGGTTCTGGAGCTACCATCGGTTCTGACTCTCTTGGTGCTTCAGGGGTGAGGTCCTCTGTGTTCCTTGATTTCGGCTTTCTTGAATAAACCAGTATCTCTTTATCATTTTGTTTATCTTTATCTCCCCCTGGATTCAAGTTCCCTTCTGTTAATGGCATACTAGAACCAGACGGTGGGATAGGTTCAGGAGAGGAGAGGCTAAAGTCGAAAACCCGATCTTCATGTAAGATCTCCCCCGGAAGAGAGGTGTTTTGAAAGTAAGGAGTGTTTTCAAAGAAAGTAACATCAAGGCTTACAAAGGTCTTTTTGGTAGAAGGGTCATAGCATTTGTAGCCTTTTTGTGTAGGAGAGTATCCAATCAGGACGCATTTAATAGCACGGGGATCAAGTTTACTTCTGTGATGAATATGAACGAAAGCAGTGCACCCAAACACTTTAAGGGAGATATTAGAGCTGAGTCGAGACGTTGGGAAATATTTTTGGAACTTTTGGAGTGGTGTCTCGAAATTGAGGACTCGACTGGGCATACGATTGATTAAATATGCGGATGTAAGAATAGCGTCTCCCCAAAACATTTTAGGCATGTGCATAGTAAACATTAAGGCACGGGCAACTTCAAGAAGATGTCTATTTTTTCGTTCGGCAATCCCATTTTGTTGAGGAGTGTCGACGCAGGAGCTTTGATGGATTATTCCATGTGTTTGAAGAAAGGTACCCATAATAGTATTAAAGTATTCTGTGCCATTGTCAGTATGTAAAATTTGAATTTGGGTTTGGAATTGTGTTTGGATCATGGAATGGAAGTTGATAAACACGGAGCGAACGTCAGATTTATCTTTTAGTAGGTAAACCCAACAAATTCGAGTGTGGTCATCAATGAACGTAACAAACCATTTTGTGTGGGTGCGATTCGGGACTCGAGAGGGGCCCCATACATCACTGTGAATTGTTGTGAATGGTTTTGATGATTTGTATATGGATTTTGGAAACGATGTTCGCTGATGTTTTGCAAGCTCACAGATTTCACATTGAAAAGGAATTTGCATTTTATTCATGAAAATAGAGGGAAATACACGTTTTAAGTATTGGAAGTTCGGGTGACCCATTCTAAAATGCTATAACATAATTTCACTATCTCTAAGAACAGACGCAGAATCACAAACTTTAAATTGACACTGGTTACTCACATCAGCCTCGTCAAAGCAGTAGAGTCCGTCACTTTCCTTAGCACTGCCAATCGTCTTCCCCGATGATAGGTCCTGAAAAATACAGTGAGATGGGAAAAATTTAGCGAAGCAATTGGAAGTTTTGGTTAACTGGCTGATAGATAATAAATTGCATGATAGATTTGGAACATGAAGGACGGATTTTAAAGTTATAGAATCAGAAATTTGAATACTCTCTTTTCCTGCCACAGTTGACAAAGACCCGTCGGCAATTTTAACCTTAAGATTGCCAGCACATGTTGTATATGAAGAGAATAGGCGGTAGGAGTCCGTCATGTGATCAGAGGCTCCCGAGTCAATGATCCAGGGAGTTTTAGATTGACTAGTGGATTTTAATGCTCTCAAAAAATTACCTCTGTGAGCTAGAGAACCTGAAGGATTGTATTTATCGGCCTGACTTGACGATTGAAGGCTAGAAAACATTTTGTAGAGTTGCTCAATTTGCTCCGAGTTAAAGGCTCCACCGGATTCTTTTGGTTTTCCTGTTGGATAATCAATAGATGCTTGGTATCCTCGATTTCTGTTACTTTGCCTCGGTTTCCAATCTGCTGGCTTTCCGTGTAGATCCCAACACGTGTCCTCCTTATGTCCTGTTTTCCGGCAGTGTTCACACCAAGGTCGGCCTTTTTGTTGTTTTGAATTTGACCCACTAGCCGACCCTTTTGAATATAGGCCCACTCCGCCAAGCCCAACATTAGAATAAATAGGCCCATCATTAATAATAGCCTCCTTTTGGAAATAAGCTGCTGGGCCACCTTTAAAATTAGAAGGCCCATTAGTTGGAGGCCCAGATCCCATCACACTTAAGCATGAAGTTTCAATTCCAGGTCCAAACCCAGCAGCCACACCTCCGATCATCACTTTCCTCCGGTTTTCCTCTCTCCGGACTTCGGAGAACACCTCTCGCGGCGATGGTAGGGGTTTTTGGCTGAGGATCCTTCCACGAACGTCGTCCAAATCACGGTTGAGCCCAGCCAAGAATTCAAAAACCCTTTCGTTCTCCAATTTTTTGCGATAGTAGACGCTGTCCTCCGAGCACTTCCATTTTTCTTCAGAACTTGAGTCGAGCCCTTGCCATAACGCCGTCATCTCGAGGTAATAATCAATTACCTCACGTTCGCCCTGCTTGGTTTGCCACAACCTGGATTTAATTTCGAAAATTTGTGAAAAATTTTCAGCGTCTGAGTACATCTCCTTCACAGCTTCCCAGACATCCTGTGCAGTGGGCAAGAACAGGTAGGTCTTTCCAATTGTGGGTTTCATGGAATTGACGAGCCACGCAGTCACCATGGAGTTCTCCGATCGCCATTTTCGTAGAAGAACAATATCGGTTGGGGCTGGCATTTTCGTCTCTCCTGTGAGGTACCCAAGCTTCCCTTTTCCATCCACTATGAGTTTGATAGACTGTGCCCATTCCCTGTAATTCTTTCCATCCAATTTTTCTATCGTGAGTTGAAACGAAGAATTGTCAATTCCTCCACTCATGGCAGAGGTGGCTTCTGTGTCACTGTTAAGCGATTCAGAGGTCATTGAGCCCCTGTTATTAGCTACAGTTTCTGTCATCTTCTCTGCTCTGATACCATGTAGAAGATGAAGACGAGAAAGAGAGGAAAAAACTTTATTATTTTTCACCTTACCCTACTGTACAATGAAGACTTCTATTTATAATACAAAAGGAATAACCTACAAAGGGAAACTAAATCTCCTACAATCTCTAACAACCATAATATTCTATCTATGGTAACTAGAATCAAGATATATTTTTCCTTAATAAATCGGGATTTCATCAACTTGTGATATACTATTTCTCACAAAGATAATAACAAATGAAATGGAAGCAAAAAATTATCATTAACAAAACAAAAATGATAACTTGGAGCTCAAACATAAATTGCAGTGAGAAAGGAAAAGACTAAGAATTCATCAATAACAGAACTATATACCATTTTTAAAAAAAATTAGAACATACAAAGACAATCACAACTAATAAAACAAAATAATAGTTGTTACAGGCGCTCCGACTTGAATCAATGACCTAGACAACCATCCCTTGGGCCAAATTTTATTGATTGGTTATATATTCCTTATGCATCACCATTAAGAACTTGATTCCTTTCCTGTGAACTATTATTCATTTGTAAGACTTATTAGTTTCACGTGTATCACACAAACAATGCCAAAAATGTAAACAGAAAATGTAATAGATAAAAAATAAACTTGTAACTTGTACTTTATTCGGTTTTCCTGCACTCTGTTACGCAATAAATGAGGCTATGGACGAATTTTGGACTAGATGTTTTGACAACTATGTCAAGTATACTCTTAAAATTTCAATGTTCACCTTATACTACTAAAATCTCAATTTTAGGGTGGGTTTCAACTTACAGTCATACGCTTGTGAGCTGTGACTCAACATTGCTGAAATAATAAAACATGGCAGAAGAAGAGGGAATGTGTATGTACCATTAACAATAGCACAAGCTCCATTATCAGTTATGTCTAATTCACTCCTCCGAGACGCTACTTTCAGAATTTCAAGCGCCTCATTTTCCGAAATTTTCAAATCTAGTCGAGAAAACATTAACAGAATTAATTACACAATAAAATGGGCAACGATAACGCAGGTTACAACCACTAAAGCCATTTTTATGATCCAATTTGATAAAACAGAAAAATTTGGGGAGGAGAGGGGGGGGGAATGCGTTTCTAACAAACACCCAGAAGAATGTATGTATACCTTGAGCGAGTTGAGAAGGAGAGACGGAGGAGAGTGAAGAGAGAGAAGTATAGCCCGATGAGATCAGCTTTCCTCTCTGCGAAGCTGAAATTGGTAGGCTCGACACTTCCATGGCCGATTCCTCTCTGTCTGTGCGTGCGTGAGAGAGAAAATTGAAAAGAACCTAGCGCGCTTTACATTTTGGGACTCTTTGCTAAAAAAACTTCAGTCAAATATAATTTTGGTTAAAAACACTCAGCTCAATAATTCTTGCACAAATGACCTTCAATTATAAAAAATAATAAATAAATAAACAATATCAAATATCCAAAATGCCCTCACCATGAAAAATACTCAAACACCCCTTTCAATCCAATTAAATTTCTCAATCTATCTCCAAAACACATCGATATTTCCTCGTGGTTACTACCTAAAATCCTGTTATTTATTATATTCTTCACCTTTCTTCTCCAATATTTTGAGCATTAGAACAAGAATTTTGATTTTCATATTATCTACATTGAAATTTCTACTATATTTGAAGAAAAAGAAATGTATTTTTAGAAGTTTCATGTGTTTAGTTGGTGTTGTTTTCGTATTTAGCACGTTTTTTGTGTTGCCTGGATCTATTGAATGATAACAACACTTCAATTGTTAACTAGAATATAGAATGACAGTCCAGCCGTTATCTACTACGTAAAACGAAACTACTGTCGTTATTTGCTATAGTTTATTTTTTCAACGAAATGACCTTTAATAATGGACTTCTTAACATATATAACACAGAACGATTGAAATTATATAAATTTTATACTATAAAAATGGTGAAAGCGCAAATTGTTCTATTCATATGTGTCGATTTCAGTATTTTACTTAAAAAAATATAGAAATGATGTTCAAAAATTAAATATTATTTATTTATATCAATTAATTTCAAAATATGCACGGTATCAATTATTTGTATTGTGTTTATATACGTAATGGCACTTGTATTGTTTTCATAACCATAACGACACTTGTGTTGTTTTCATAACAGTAACGACACTTGTGTTTTTCTCACTTTCATGTTGATTAACTAATGAGTGTATCTCTCGAATTTTGTAAATGTCACGTCCATCTTGCAACTTAAATGAGTTCAATTTATCGAATAGCGAGGCTCGGACAGTTCGTGGCCAATCATACTCCGGTTTATCAACAAAACGACACACATGACCAGTAACGACACTTATATCGTTTTGTTGATTTCTCCAATATTTTGCCTCATTTCCATCGCAACGACTTCGAGTATTGGACCTCATACCTTAAGATAATCAGAAATGTTGATTGTGTGATAAATAACGGTGGAATTGACATCAATTATAGATATTGAGTTTGTGAAATTACAAGTCACTATCTACATTCGTTAGAAAAACATGATTAGTGAGCGTAACTCTCAAATTTTGTAAACGGCACGTCCATCTTGCAACTTAAATGGGTTCAATTTATCGAATACCGAGGTTTGGACGATTTGTGGCCACTCATACTCATGTTTATGGACAGAATGACACATGTGACCAGTAACGACACTTGTGTCGTTCTGTTGATTTCTCCAATATTTTGCCTCATTTCTATCGCAACGACCTCGAGCACTGGATCCATTACCTTAAGAAAATCAGAAATGTTGACTGTGTGACAAATAATGGTGGAATTGATATCGATTATAGATATTGAGTTGGTGAATCACAAGTCACTATCTACATTCGTTAGAAAAATATAATTAGTGAGCGTAACTCTCAAATTTTGTAAATGGGGCGTCCATCTTGCAACTTAAATGGGTTCAATTTCTCGAATACCGAGGCTCAGACAGCTCGTAGCCGCTCATACTCCTGTTTATAGACAGAACGATACACGTGACCATTAAAGGCACTTGTGCCGTTCTGTTGATTTCTCCAATATTTTGCCTCATTTCCATCGCAACAACCTCGAGCACTGGACCCCATACCTTAAGAAAATCAGAAATGTTGATTGTGTGACAAATAACGGTGGAATTGACGTCGATTATAGATATTGAGTTGGTGAAATCACAAGACTATCTACATTCGTTAGAAAAACATAATTAGTAAGTATAACTCTCAAATTTTGTAAACGGCGCATCCATTTTGTAACTTAAGTGGGTTCAATTTATCAAATACCGAGGCTCAGACGGTTCGTGGTAGTTCATACATGTGTTTCCAGGCAGAACGGCACAAGTGCCGTTAAACGACACATGCGTCGTTCTGTTGATTTTATCAATATTTTTCTACTTTTCCAGTCGAAGGACCTCACGAATTGGACCCTCCAACTTAAGAAGGCTGAAAATGATGATTAGGTGACAAGTAACGGTGGAATTGATGTAAAATATATGGTATTGAACAGTGAAATCACATAAGTCTACATTGATTTTGTTTGAAAGTATAAGCGCCGAGCATATCTCCCATATGTTGTAAAAGCCGTGTCCATCCTACAACTTAAATGAGTTCATCTAATAAGTTCATCGTGATTCAGACGGGTCAGGGCGCTCTATACTGGTGTGGGTCAGGGCGCTCTATACTGGTGTTTCCAGGCAGAATGACACAAGTGTCGTTTTTCGATAGTTGTGTCGTTCTGTTGATTTCATCAATATTTTTAAACTTTTTCTATCGAACGACCTCGAGAATTGGACCCCCTAACTTGGGAAGGCTAGACGTGTTGATTAGGTGACAACTAACGGTAGAATTGATATAGAATATATGGTATTGAACGGTGAAATCACACAAGTCTACATTGATTTTGTTTGAAAGTATAAGCGTCGAGCATATCTTCCCTACGTTGTAAGAGGCATGTCCATCCTACAACTTAAATGAGTACATCTAATGAGTTCATCATGGCTAGGACGGGTTGTAGAGCTCTGTACGTTTGTTTCCAGGCTGAACGACACTTGCGTCGTTACACGACAGTTGTGTTGTTCTATTGATTTCATCGATATTTTTCAACTTTTCCAGCCAACCGACCTCGAGAATTGGACCCCCTAACTTTTGGAAGACTGGACGTGTTGATTAGGTAACAACTAACGGTGGAATTGATGTAGAATATACGGTATTGAACGGTGAAATCACAGAAGTCTACATTGATTTTGTTTGAAAGTATAAGCCTGGAGCATATCTCCCCTACGTTCTAAGAGGCATGTCCATCCTACAACTTAAATGAGTACATCTAATGAGTTCATCGTGGCTCGGACGGGTCGTGGAGCTTTGTACGGTTATTTCCAGGCAGAACGACACTTGTGCCATTACACGACACTTGTGTCGTTCTGTTGATTTCCTCAATGTTTTTCTACTTTTCTAGTCGAACGACCTTAAGAATTGGACCCTCAAACTTGGGAAGTCTGGATGAGTTGATTAGGTGACAATTAGCTGTGGAATTGATGTTGAATATACGGTATTGAATGGTGAAATCACAAGAGTCTACATTGATTTTGTTTGAAAGTATAAGCGTTGAGCATATTTCCCCTACGTTCTAAGAGGCATGTCCATCCTACAACTCACATCTAATGAGTTCATCTTGGTTCGAACGGCTCATCTCTGTACGATTGTTTCCAGGCCGAACGACGCTTGTGCCGTTACACGACACTTGTGTCGTTATGTTAATTTCATCAATATTTTTCTACTTTTCCAGTCGAACAATATCGAGAATTGGATCCCCTAACTTGGGAAGGCTGAACGTGTTAATTAGGTGATAATTAACGATGGAATACATGAGTTTCCTTTCAGAACGACACAAGTGTCATTTTCTGGACAGTAACGGCACTAGTGCCGTTCTCATTGAATTTCATTCACACAATATAACGATACTTGTGCCGTTCTGATATCAGTAACAGCACAAGTGTCACTCTCTACACTGTTTTCATCAATTTTCAAAAGAAAAGTATTGAGTTATAAACGTCAAGTGTCTTTCTCATTATCATTATATTTGTACAAATAAATGTTATCTTTCCGGCAAAACGACACAAGTGCCATTTTAATGACAGTACTGGCACTAGTGCCGTTCTCACTGAAATTCATTCACACAGCCTAACGACACTTGTACCATTCTGATATCAGTAACGACACAAGTGTCATTTTCTACACTATTTTTATCAATTTTCTTTTATTTTCATAACTCAATATTTCATCAAGTGTCTTTCTCATTATCGTTATATTTGTACAAATAAATGTTATCCTCCCAGGGATTTCATGACTGTAATGACACTAGTGCCGTTCTCATTGAAATTCATTTACACAAATTGAGCTTGCAAAAATTCTATATATTTCTTCATCAACCAATTGGTTTCAAATCCACGCTGAATTGAGTCTGCAAAAATTCAAGAGCATTGATTACAGCTACCATTGCATTCCGGACAAACCAAATCCATACTGAATTGAGCCTTCTCTCGGTATTAGCGACCCCGTGAGATACCACAGTCTTAGCTTCCCGGGGATTTGTTAGTTCCCATAAGTACATTACATAAAAGGCGCTTAACCATGGCTAGCCTCACGGGATCAACAATTGCACCTCCAATTTCTTCATCAATTACTTGCATTACAGCTTTTGCTTGGGTATTATGGGTCCACACCTTAGCATTTGCATTTGAGGTAGGTGAGAACGGTACTTACTTCTGAAAGTAGTCCCGGTCTATCACTTCCTATTAACTCAATTGTTGTGTGGTCCATTCCAGACATCACCCCGACATATCGTCTCATAGAAGATGCAAAGCAAGAATCCGGACCAAGTGACTGCAAACAAATACAAAAATATATTTTTGTATTTGTTTGCAAATTTATGCAAACATAAAGTAATAATACTTTGAAATTTAACAAAACTCACCTTCTGGATATAATCGAGACTCGCTTCATCTGTTATCTTGTTTCCACCTTGGTCGGTAACATTGAAAACTACCGGAGAAAAATAAACAGCTCAACAATTATTTCCAATTACTATTGGTATATAAATTATTTTTTTATGGGGTGAAATATAATATAAATGTTAATACCATCCATGAACCATCCTCCATCAGAACAAATATAAGCTTTAGATATCATAAGATTATGTTCAGAAAGGACTTGTACAACATCCAAAAGTATTCCATGTTTATTAGCATTGTCAATTTGAATAAGAGAACAAGGACGACATGAACCTTAAAAATTACAAAAATTTGAAAAATCCCATAAGTCTTGAGATATTTGAAGTAAATTGCAAAACACATAAACAAGGTACATACCTGAATAACAGTGGCATTTTCGCAGGATTCATTATCAATTACAACTCTGACAACAAATGAAATTGGATTAAATAATGGCTATAAAATTGAATCAAATCATTTATACATAAACAGATATAAGAAAATAGGTACCTGGGAGGGTTCATTCTCCTGATGAATTTCTCATATTTATCATCCATATTCTGTAAATAACTCACCGAAGCTTCAGAAAGGGAAAAACAAGAAAAAACGAAAACTCAGATCAAGCCAATATTAATTTTATTTTTTAGAAAGGGAACCGAATCACCAAAACCAATCACAAAGAAGATATTAAAATCTAGAGTCTAAAAGAGGGGGAAGAAAAAATAAAACTGAATAATAAAATAATTTTGAGATTTGAATAAGAAGAAGGAAGCAGGTGGTGAAATGGGAAGAAAAAGTCATTCGTTTTTCAAAAAAAATGGAGCAGTAAGGGAAAGGGTTTACAGCGGGTGAAATTAGGGAAAAATAGTGATTTTTGAGTTAAAAGTTGAAGGGCAATTTTGTCATTTTATCATTTTATCATTTTATTACATTCTTATTATTTTATTTTTTTTTAATATGAGTCAAAGGCTATTATTCCAAATGTTTTGTTCAACCCGACTGTCTGGACAAATTCCCCTTACATTTTTGGAGGTATCATCCGGATCCGAAATGGGTTTGATCTATATTTACCTGATCCAAAAAAAATATGGGTTTAAACTGGCCAGTCTTATGTGTCTCGTTTTACATCTTTAGTTGGTGGCTATTAGGGGTAGCGAATGATCAAGCGACTTGCGGTCTCCTGGACTCGTCTCGAATTATGGACGGTACAAACTTATTTTGAGACGAGTCATGAATCGAGTCCGATACCTTTTTTTCACGAGTCGAGCTCGACTTAGTGGGCTGGTTCGAATTTTTAACTTGTTCTATTAATTTCTTTAATAAAAAAAATGAGCAGATTTAAGGGCTTGTGTATGGATTGAGGATTCAAGTTTAGTTTATGGATACAAGCCGAGCTTGGGTGTCTTAGGGCCAAACTAGCTTGGTTGGCCCATTATGTCCCTAGTGGCTATGGACGAGAATGGGGCTGTGAGTAGGGGTGGGCGTGGGGTGGGTTGGGTTGGGTTGAGCCGATTTTTGTCTCAACCCAAATCCAACCCAACATGATCAATTTGATCATAATTTAACTCAATTCAATCCAACCCAACCCGTGTAAAGGTTAAAATCCAACCCAACACAATCAAGTATCGGTCTGGTTGGGTTGGGTTGGTCGGGTTGGGATAATTTGTCAACAAAAACTAAAATAGGCGGGTCGGGTTAGACAAATTTATAATTAACTCTTGACTTATATAATATTTGGTTTCCATAATTGGAATGAACAAAAAAATCTAAATTATTTTGGCATTTTATGCCCGAAAACGTTACATGGACAGTTTGATATTAAATTATAAGAAGTTAAGAAATATTTTTGGCAATTAAAATATTTTTGTATTGAATGTATATTTGCTTATACTATTTTTCGTAAAATGCCTTATATCCAAGTCTTATAATATTATTCTAAAAGCTTCCATGTCTTGTGATTATAATATTATTCTAAGAATTTCCGAACAACATCATAAAACTTGTAAAGTTCATAAATATAGTCGGGTTGGGTTGGACGGGTCACGGGTTTATTCGATTTTTATGAGTTAACCCATAACCCGACTCAACCCAACCCAACCCAACTCGCGTACACAACCAACCCAACCAACCCGTATAAAAACAACAAAAAAACCAACCCAAATCGGTCGGGTTGGTTTGATTTGGACGATTTTGATGGGTTCGATCGGGTTTTGCCCACCCCTAACTGTGAGGAACGTTGAGGATCTTCAAGGGGTGGAGGGGGCCAAAAATTAATACGGTTTATTCAATCGAGACTTTTAAGAATTTAAAAAAATTGGAGTTATTCAATTTAGACTTTTTAATACTCTCTAAAAGTATTGATGTATTTAATAAATACTTTTATAGACTTTTAAAAGTTACGGTTTATTCAATTAAAATTTGTTAGAAGTCTGTACGAGTCGTGGAATATTCAAAATATATCAATAACTTTCAAAGATTTTTATAAAAGTCTATGGTACTAACTTTTAACTAGAAAGTATAAAAATAATTTGATTCTCTCATTCATCCAAAAATTTTAGAACTCTCATAACAGAAATTTTTTTTATTTTGAACTTTGTCCTTTCAACATTTCTCATTCGTCTTCCATTCTACGAGCCATTATTAAAAACATACTATTTTTCTCTCTCTTCTACCGTCATATTTTTTTTTGGTTTTCCTTTTTTTAAACTCTTTTTATCGTTTCTCCCCCATTTTCTAATGAAATCGATTAAATTATAATTAAAAAATATTTGTAAGATTTTCTTTTTTTTTTCTTTCATCCAATTTTTAAGAAAATTATCAATTTGATGTTAGAAAAAACTAATTTGTAATTAAATTTTAAGTTATGTTTACTTTTTAAAGGTCATGAACATTAAACAAGTGTACAAGGGAAAATAATGTAGTTTAAAGACTCTAAACAATGAAAAAATAGCTTTTTTTGTTCTTGAGATAGCTAAACATTGATCGAGTTTCTATAAATTATAAAAATAAAAAATGTTTAGAAGTAGTATATTCCATCAGCTATATGGACAACTTCATGTCGACGATTAACAACCAAAGCACAAACAATTATTTCTGACATCATTGATGATATTATAAAAAAATTAAAAATGTACATAATCATGTCATCGATCAACGATGAAGGCACTTTTGTTAGTTGCTGACATCATCAATGACATTGCTGTCAATGGTTATCGGCGAAGGTGCACATACACTCACCGAACAGATTTGTCCAAACTAATAGAAGTCGGGGAATAGTAACGTATACATAATATACAAGACATGGTACTGAAATTTTGTTATTAGTTTAATTTTTATTTGTGCAAATAGGATGTGAAAAAATAAACCTTAATTAGTGGATTCGGAAAATTTTATTAAATTGAAAAAAAATTAATTTTAATAAAAGGATAAGTAACATGAAAACTCTGTTTGAGAATCACAAATCATAAACACATTCTAACATTATTTACTAGTCCCATTATAAAACTCATGGCACAAATTAGTCTCTCTTTCTTGCTCCTCCTCATCATCTTTTTTGCAGTCGGGGCGGAGTATTTGACGGTTCAAAGACGATATCGTGCTAGGGCATTCATCGAGTCACGGTGCCAAACAACGAAATATCATGAGCTATGTATTAGTAGTTGTTTCGCGCGGGTAGTCGCTAACAATTAAAAAAAAAAATTCAGACGATTGTGTAAGGGACAAACCTTTTGAGATAAAGTCCCAAAAATGGGTGTTTTATTGATGAGCGTTACACTTGGAACTAAACAGAATATCTCTAAGGGGCGTAGCACACGAGTACTGAAAAAATGCTAATTAAAGTTAATCTAAGAAATTAAAATTACATATTCTTTGTTTGAGAGTGTTTGATTCGGGGTCTTTCCTCTATGTCTATTCTTTCCTTTTATACTCCCATGACGACTTCTACGTGACAAACCGCTTGGAAACTGCTACCATTTTCTTCATCTCTAACTGCTGCCATTACTTTTCGTTGTTCAACTGCTTTCAAAGAGATTTCTTAAATTGTGGAATGTGATAATTAGCTCGATAACTGTCTGAGTAACTGCTATTTCGGATGACCACAATATCTCACATATTAGGATTCTGGGCGATTTGAAGGCCTGAGCGAGAACGAGGCTGTCGCGCTGAGCGACAGTGAGGCATTCCATTCGTCCAAATTCTGGGCGTCGATTTGAAATGCTAAACTGTACATGACTAAATGTGACTAATTCCTTGTTTGGTTTAGCAAAAAATTAATAAAAATTTAAGTTGAAGTCAACAATTAATTTTTTCCCCCGTTGGCAACCATTATTTGGGGAATATAAAGTTTTGAATAGTGATTTTTAGGAGAATGTATAAATAAAAAGTCTGGAATAAATTTTGNAATAAATGATGGTGTTGATCAGCTCACCAACTGTAACAAAGACACAGAAAACATAACACAATACGGCCAAAGTGAGTTTCCTTGGAATACAAGCAATGTTCAGACATGGATGAGCACTGCTCAAACTGATGCAACTACATGCATTAAGAGGTTTTTGTAAGGCCTAGACCACAACACAATATAAGGATCGAAACAAACAATAACCACAACAGTAACGTAAAACTATAGAAATTAAAGAATGAACACAAGAATTGTTTTGGTCGTAGCCCCGGAGGTTCCGTGACCGCTTCAAACACCTACATCCCCCGTTGAGCATCCATAAACAAGAATATATTCAGATGCACTAAATCAACCACAAAATGGTAACAAAGATTACAGAGAGTTCAAGAAAGAGATATGAGACTTATCTCTCAAAGTACATCAGATGATAACCTATGATTCACTCAGAAAACACCAAGAACACCTTCGAACATACGCACAGTATTACAACAGAGGAATCACTCACAGCCTCTCAATATTCACACAAAATATTACAATCGAAGGTAGATCTAACTAGTACAGTACTCTAAATCAGAGATTTAAAGTGAAATCAGGCATCAAGAATCAAACCCTATCTCTTTCTCTCGTTTTTCACTCAAAAGGAAGAAACCCTAGAAGTCTCTAGATAATCAGCCAGAATGAATGTCTGAGGGGCCAAAATATCTTAAACCCGAGTATATGAACAGTCCAAGCATCCAACGGCCACAAGAGAGCCACGTGTCATCAACCCAAGTGAAGGTGCTTCACATTTAAGAGAAGCGTGATTTGCAAACACGCTTTCAGCCAAAATGCTAGGAGCAGAATAAATAGGCCAGGATCCAACCCAACAATCTCCACCTTGCTACCAGATTTTGGGCCATAAGTGCATCCGGGAACATAAACACTGATAATTTCATTTACTCTAAGTAACAACATCAAGATCACAAAGAATTAATAGCAAAGAATTTAAGACAATTTAAAAATTTGTTTAGAAGTATCACTTTTGTACCCATATATGAAGGATTATGTTAAGTTGCAATTTTTTCAATCTTTATTATACCTTTAGAAATAACATCTCTAATGAAATGATATTTAACATCAATGTGCTTAGTTCTATCATGAAACATGGGATTCTTA